TTTGTTTTTTTTGAGACGGAGTCTTGCTCAGCCACCCAGGCTGGAGTGCAGTGGCACTATCTCGGCTGGCTCACTGCAACCACTATTTCCTGGGTTCAAGTGATTCTCCTGTCTCAGCCTCCCGAGTTGCTGGGATTACAGGCACCTGCCACCACGCCCGGCTAATTTTTTTGTATTTTAGCAGAGATGGGGTTTCACCATGTTGGCCAGGCTAGTCTTGAACTCCTGACCTCAGGTGATCCGCCTGCCGTGGCCTCCCAAAGTGCTAGGACGGGCGTGAGCCACCGCGCCTGGCTGTGCTTCCTGTTTTAGGTGGTACAGTTTAGTGGTCAAGTACTGCTTTTCCTCCAGAGCCTGTTTTTAAGCTGGTATCTAAGGGTGCAGAGCAGGGAGGGCCCAGGGGCTACTCTGTCTCTCTGCTCATTTCACATGTTTATTGAGCATCTACTATAAAAATAAGTTGTAAAAGCTGAAGAGTGAGCGAGCCGCAGAGACCCACAGGTCTCTCTTATTCGCTCGCTGAATCGGGCTCTCCCACTGGAAAGGGCTCAGCGGTGAGTGAAGGAGCTTGCTTCTGTCTGAGCAGCTTTTGTGTGGTCGTTGCCAGGGCTTTCGTTGGCCATTAATCCTTCAACTAGGTGTCAGTCTGGGGTTGGGGAAATGTGTTATTTTTGACTATTTCTTGATATTTTTAATTAATTCAAAGCATTCATTGTCAGTCAAGTAGTTAGTTTGGAATACAGGTCTCTAATGTCTTAAAAGGTTTTTTTTAAAGAAAGGATTTCTTTGAATTAGTTCATCTCAGATGACAAAGTGTGGACTCGACGGTAGCAGCAAACAGTGCCTTTGCCTGCTGTGTTCTCTTCTGATCATCGTTAGAACCGGAAGAGTGTTCTGTAGATGTGCAAGTGAAAAGCCACGTCTTCCTTGTCACTGGGAGAAGAGCTAAGAACCTGGCCCGCTGAGCATTCTAGCAGCCTGATCATCAGCGCTCCTGAGGAAGGGGGGTGCCCTGCAGGGAAACCTGCTCGGGAAACCACAACAGAGCCCAGCACCTCAGGACTGGTGATGATGAGCGTGGCTGGGGCTTTTCTGGAGGTTTGCAGGCATGGCTCTCCACCATCTGTTTCTCGTAGGTTTCCTTTGCTTGGCATTGCTTTGAGTTTGCTGGTGAAGTAGCTGTAAAGGTAAACTTTTTTCCTCTCTCTTTCTTCCTTCTATGAAGAGTCATTCGTAACTTGAAAAAAGTTTCCACTTTTTGTAGACAAGCTCTGTTCCATTCTGGGCAGCCAGTGACAGGACGTCATCCCTTGTCACTGAGCTGTAGGCAGGTGGAGAGGAGAAGCTTGAGCTGCGGTGGTTTCCGTGGAGGCTAGGGGAGGGAGGAACCCTACCACACAGTGTTTGGAGTGTAGGAGAAGCTTTTGTTTTGTCTTTAACTGACAACAGGCATTTGTGAAAAGGTGTGTGTGCAGTCAGTGTTACCCAACAGAGGGCACAGCCCAGGAGCAGCTGTGCATGCGGGAATACACGAGAGGAAGCACACTTCCTCCCCTCCTGACTGATGGGAACGTAACTGCCCTCCCGTGGGCCCTGCATAGGGCCCGGTGTGGTGGAGTTTGTGGGGAAAGGCCCCTCTCCTGCAGGCAGCTTCACCAGCTGGCCACTGCCAGGGCAGGGGGGCACATGTCTCCGGCACGCTTCCGTGGGGCTCTCCTTGCTCCTTCTGAGGCTGCATGATGCCTTGACACCAGTGTCCTGGTTACCCTCCAAGCAGCAGGTGAGCTGTGGGTTAGCGGACTGGGGCTGTGGCACCACAGTGCTGGTGATTGAATACAGACTGCAGGTGAGTGGAGAGGGCCTCTCCGAGGCCGCTGGCCTGTGCTTACTAACTCAGCTCTGATTGAAGACAGGCTGCAGGTGAGTGGGGAGGGCCTCTCCGAGGCCGCTGGCCTGTGCTTACTAACTCAGCTCTGATTGAAGACAGGCTGCAGGTGAGTGGGGAGGGCCTCTTTGGGGCCGCTAGCTTGTACTTACTAACTTGGCTCTCCCAGCTGCCTTCAGGTGTCCTCCTCTCTGACAGATAAAATCTCGTGAGTGTGTGTCTCTGCAGGAATGTGAATGGAGTATTGACAACTTTGTTTTTCTTCTTTCTTTTCTTTGCTACATGGGAGGATGTTACTGGTGGGTTGACAATTGATTCTGATTATGAGGACACCCAGGCTGAACTTGCTTGAATCTCTAGAGTTCTTTTAGCAACCTCATTGAGGTATAATTTACATACCATAAAGTTAACTTAAGTTTGTAATTAAATAATTTTTAGTAAAATTACAGGGCCGAGTAACCATCACCACAGTTTAATTTGAGAACTTTGCCATCGTGCCCCAGAGAAGCCTCATGTCCACTGGCGCTGCTCCCCATCCCCACCTTCAGCCCCGAGGCGGCCACCAGTCTCCCGCCATCTGTGTGGATGAACTGACTCATGTGAATGGAATCCCAGTACGTGGGCTGTGTGCCTGGCCCACGCAGCGCAGTGTTGCAAATGTCCATCCATGGCGTTGGATGTGTCTGCAGCTCCGTCCTCTTCACCAAGTGCGATTCCGTCCTGTGGAGATGTGCACCTGCCACTCTCCTTCCACCACTGATCCACGGTTTGTGACCGTGACTTTTAGGACAGTGAGCTGGGCCTCTTCCTCAGCCGGGGACCCCAGGTTCCTGAGTTCATGGGCTGCGGGGTACCAGGCTCTGATGGGGTGAAGGTCCAGAGATGGAGACACAGCCATTCCCGCTTTCCTAGAGCTCTCAGGCTGGTAGAGAAGGGCCACAGGCAGCAGGAGAATTGAGTGGGTGAGTGCAGCCGAAAGCAGGGGGCTCGGTTAGAGCAGGTATGAAGGACTTTTCCAAGAGGAAAGGAGGAAGGAGGTGGCCCAGGAAGAGGCAGAGGCATGAGCAGAGAAGCCATGGCCCAGGGCCTCTGTATCTCCAGCAGGCAGCCCTGGAAGGTCTGGTTTCAGGAATAGCCTCTTCCCATCAGGGCTCCACCAGGGAGCTCTTAGGCCTGGGTTTCAGAGGTGTTTACCTAGGGTGGTGTTGCATTCAGAGTTGTCTTTTTCAAAAAAAAAGTTCTCTATCACCCCCTCCTGTTTCCAAATTCCCCTTAAAAAGAGCAGTGGTCGGCCAGGCATGGTGGCTCACGCCTGTAGTCCCAGCGCTTTGAGAGGCCGGGGCGGGCAGATCACGAGGTCAGGAGATTGAGACCATCCTGGCTAACACAGTGAAACCCCGTCTCTACTAAAAATACAAAAAATTAGCCGGGCGTGGTGGCGCGTGCCTGTAATCCCAGCTGCTTGGAAGGCTGAGGCAGGAAAATCACTTGAACCTGGGACGTGGAGGTTGCAGTGAGCGGAGATCGCGCCACTGCACTCCAGCCTGGGTGATAGAGTAAAAAAAAAAAAAGCAGTGGTTGTGGATACATGGAGCCCTTTTTAGAAGGAGCCTCCCCATAAACCCCCTAGGAACCCTTGCACACGTGTCCTTGAAGCTGGGGGTGAGCCCCCCAGGGGAGCTGCAGGCGGCGTCCGCGGGTCGGGGGCTGGTAAACAGCAGGACTGCGTTTCTCATCGTGAGTGTATCTGAGACAGTGCAGCCCCCACCTCTGGTCTTTGCTTTAGTGTTGCCACCACCAGGTGCCACCCTTGTGTCCTGACTCATGAAGGCCTCCCCCAGCCCTAGGAAAGCCAGCCACACTAGAGGTCTGCCTGCCAAGTGCTGCTGTCAGCTCGAACAGGGGTGTGGTGCACCAGCAGACCCCCCTCCGGAGGCAGCCGTGGTCTCTGCTGTGGTCATCCTGTATGGTAAGAGGGGCGTTGAGGCCACTGTGAGGGAGGACCCCTGTGCTGTGCCACTGTCACCCCAGTGTTTCCTTTGTCCACACAGTGGTGTGGGTTAGAAACATCAGGGCCCACTGCAACTTTTATTAGGGCCACTGAGTGCTGGTTGGGAGCCGCAGGGCCGTGGCCTTTGTTTCTCCGTGGTGACTTGTGTGTGTGCAGCCTCCTGCCAGGGCTAGACCTGTCTGGAAGGGAAGGGCGTGTGCTGTTCCCGTCTGTCTTGGCCAGAAGGGCCTCCCATTCTTTGCCTTCACCGTGTTTGTTTTTTCTCTGCACAGGATTTCTCCTGGCTGGGGCACACCCATTGGTGTTCAGCGGAAGTAGAAACAATTGGTACAAACATAAAATGTGGAAGCTTAAAGGGAAAAGAAGGAGATGGCGGGTAGGGCTTCCGGGCCACGTGTGATCTGTGGCATTGCTTGGCCCATGGACTGTGGCCACACTCGCATTGCTGTCCCTGGCTCCCTTCTCTTTGAAGCTCCCTGGGCTGGAATGTCTGTTCATTCATCCCTGCAGTTGTTTGCGGATGTCCCGGGGCTAATGTGAGGGAGCTAAGTGCCACAGCTCCTGTTTTTTGCCCTGTCTGGTGGTGATTTTGGTCTGTGTCATCGAGCATTTTGCTGTGGTGGGCAGGGAGGCTAAGAGCTCCCACAAAGGTATTCAGCTTTTCCCTGCAGAAAGCAGGCGAGCTGGAGGGTTGGAAAGCACAGAGGCACCATGCTGTTTCCCTTTTGCCTGTGACCTTTGCAGGGTTGGGAGACTTTTCTTCCAAGCACCCTTTCAGCAGCACCTCTTTCCCTCCAGACATGGTGGCTGTGCAGGCTGTGGGTTGGCAGACCCTATCCCCACAGCAGCATAGTCTCAGGAGCCCACGTGGGGCTGTTGTCTCGGGGTTTGGCCTGCACCATCTGCGGAAGCTCCTAACTCCTGCTTTGCTGGGATTTGTCCTCAGCCCATGGAAAGGCCTGATGGTGCCAGGTGGCCCTGAGGAGCCGGATGCCTGAGCCTGGGGCCAGGCCTGGGCGTGAGCCCGGGGAGCATAAAATTAGCTTGGGCGTGGGTTGAAAGCTGCTGGTGTGAGCATGGCTTGTCTGTGTTGAGTTTGTCATGCACAGCCTTGGCCTCTCCCCACAGTCTGCGGCCGGCCCTCTACATGGGAGGCTGCTCTGGGTTCCTCCTCCCAGCATGTCTGCCCTTCTGCTGCGTGCCCTGTTCTTTATGCCACATGTGACAGGACCGTTTGTCATAGCAGCGGTGTCATGAAACACAAGAGTGTGGGCCTGAGAATCTGGGTTGAGTCAGGTTCCTGTTGGAGACCTGCATGTGTGCAGCCTGCTCTGAGCGCTCGGGACACGCTAAACAGAGGCAACAGGGGCCACCCCTGGGCAGCTTCCCCACTGCCGAGGGGGATGGGAGTAAGGAGGTGTGGGATGCGGTGCCTGGGGGGTGTGTGCGGGAGAGCCGAGGGGGACGGGAGTAAGGAGGTGTGGGATGGGGTGCCTGGAGGGGGTTCTTGGAGAGAGCAGGGGGACGGGAGTAAGAGGTGGAATGGAGTGCCTGGAGAAGTGCGTGGGAGAAGCCAAGAGAGACGGGAAGTAAGGAGGTGTGGGATGGGAGTGCCTGGAGGGTGCGTGGGAGTTCCGAGGAGACAGGGGTAAGGTGTGGGATGCGGTGCTTGGGTGGGGTGCACGGAGGGAAGCCGAGGAGACGGCAGTAAGGTGTGGGATGGAGGTGCCTGGAGGGTGTGCGGGAGAGCCGAGGGAGGCGGCAGTAAGGTGTGGGATGGGTGCCTGGAGGGGTGCGGGAGAGCCGAAGGGGGCGGAGTAAGGTGTAGGATGGGAGTGCCTGGAGGGTGTCGCAGGAGAGCAGAAGGGACGGCAGTAAGGTAATGAGATGGGAGTGCCTGGAGGGTGTCAGGAGAGCCGAAGGGGGCCGGGAGTAAGGTGTGGGATGGGGTGCCTGGGGAGGTGTGCGGGAGAGCCCAGAGGGACGGGAGGGAAGTAAGGGAAGTGTGGGATGGAGTGCGCAGGGAGAGGCTGTTTGAATAGGGCTCTGAAGGCCTCTTTGAGAAGGTGCCGTTGAGCTGGAGACCTGCGGAGGTGACGGAGGTACTGTATGCAGGCCTGTGGAGGAGCCCTGGCTCCTGAACCTTGTCTCAGAGGCTGCCTTTGCCTCCTCCCTCATGGTTCACGGACGTGTAAAGTTTTAATTTGATATTTCTCAGTCAGGTGTCATCTTTAATGATATTTTGATGAATGGGGTGTCATTGTAGCAGGAGTGCATGTGGCTCAGCTCCTGTATCAGAGATTGAATAGATGAAGGGCAGGAGAGGAAGCCTCTGTGAAGTAGAGGCCAGTGAGCCTGGCTGTGTATCACCTGGATTGCCTCTACAGGCTGAAGAGCTGTGCCAGCAAAGCCCTTGGGCATGGGAGGGCCGTCTGAGAGACAGGGAGAAGGAACAGCAAGGAGACCTCAGAGTGCGCTCAGGAAAACTTGTAGCAAATCCTCCCTCCCCTCACAATTTGCCCAACCATCTTGTAGATATTATGGGTTGGGAATGATCGGTGTGCTTGGTGGCCCAGGTTTTTAGTGTTAAAGATAGCAATATAGAATAAAATGAGCCCTGCGGTTCTGTAGGGAAATATTACTGTGGGGCGTCATTTTGGTGCGTAGCTTCGCTCCTGCCAGCGGTGGGCTGTGGCGGCCTCAGCTCTGCATGTGACATGCTAGGCCTGCAGCACCGTGTGCCCTCTGAGCGCTCTGCTCTGGTTGATGCTCTCAACACAGAACACACGGCTTCATGGTCAGCCACGCACAAGCACCGGGCAGTGCGGCCAGAGTGTAATGTCGTCCGCCCACAGCTGGCAGGCAGGCCGCATGGTCGGCCCACCAGGAGTCAGGTGTCAGGCGCTGCACCAAACGCACAAGTCTCTGATCTTGGGCGTGGCTCAGCAGCCCCTGGCTTGGCTGTGGGTGGGTCTTGCTTCCACCTCTTTCCGAGTAATCAACCCTGGAACTGCTGGGCCTAGAGATGAGGTCTCCCCATCACCTTTCCCGCATCTGTAGGCTGGTGGGTGAGGCTTTGGCCCACAGGTTATTCCTGCACTGCCACCAGTGGTGACGGGGCTGGCAGCCCTCAGGGCCTTGCTGCCGTGGCTGTCTGCTGGGGGTGCAATCCCCATGGATCTCTCCAGGAGATTTTATGTCTCACCCTAGGGCAGGATTTTTGACTTCTTGCTGTCAGGACCCCTTAAAGTCCTTGTTGAGGCTGGGCATGGTGGCTTGTGCCTGTAATCCCAGCACTTTGGGAGAGCCAAGGTGGGAGGATCACTTGAGACTAGGAGTTTAAACCCAGCCTGAGCAACACAGGGAGACCCCATCTGTACAGAAAAGTAAAAATTAGCCCGATGTGGTGGTGTGTGCCTCTCTAGTCCCAGTTGTTTGGGAGGCTGAAGTGGGAGGGTGCTTGAACCCAAGAGGTTGAGGCTGCAGTGAGCTCCATGCCACTGCACTCCAGTCTCAGTATTAAAGTGAGACCCTGCCTCTAAAATGAAAAAAAAGTCCTCATTGAGTTTACATGAGTTGAGCTATTAATATTCATCTTTTTGAAATTAAAATTTCCTAAATGAGAATATCAAAACAACTTTAATTCATTTAGAAAAAATTAAAAACCCAGCATATCTTTTTTTTTTTTTTTTGAGACAGAGTCTCGCTCTGTGCCCAGGCTGGAGTGCAGTGGCCGGATCTCAGCTCACTGCAAGCTCCGCCTCCCGGGTTTCGCCATTCTCCTGCCTCAGCCTCCCGAGTAGCTGGGATTACAGGCGCCCGCCACCTCGCCCGGCTAATTTTTTGCTTGTTTATTAGTAGAGACGGGGTTTCACCGTGTTAGCCAGGATGGTCTCGATCTCCTGACCTCGTGATCCGCCGTCTCGGCCTCCCAAAGTGCTAAGGATACAGGCAGGCTCCACCGCGCCCAACCAACCAACATATCTTAACATAAGTATCATTTAAAATTTTTTTTAAAAAACCTGTTATCTTCTAGCATCAAACAGAGTGGCTTTGGCTTTTTGCAAATCTCAAAGGCTGGATTCTGTCAGGTTCTGTGTTTATCCTGCTGTAATTTTACAGGCCAGGTGGCTTCCACAAGGCTTTGGCACATGGCACCTTTGTGTTATTGTAAAGAGAGTGCTAACCTCTTGGTCCCAGGCCACACTTTGGGCTCTAGGGCTCCCCACCGTGGCCTCTCTTTGCCTCTGCCAGAGGCCTTCATCCCAGGAGAGCCATCGTGGAAATGGCTGGAAGACAATACATTCTTTCAGCCACTTTCTGTTGGTCAGGGAGTCACAGAGCCACCTGGATCTGGGGGTGGGAGTGGTGAAGCGTGGACAGCCTGCCTCTGGATGGAGGAGGGCTCCAGAAGGCCCTGAGTCCTCCTGCCTCCTTCAGGAGAGGCCCTGGCTAGCCACCCCAGACACCCAGGCTTTTTCTCTCTCCCCCTAACTTCTGGGCAGGGCTCAGCCTTGTCCCGTGCCCCAACTTCCTCTTCCTGCCGTTCGTTTTCCTCCCGGGGCATACGGCCTGGCACCACCCTGTAGGCCGTAGAGGTTGTGCAGGTCGGGTGGGTGCTGTCTCTAGAGTGCCACCGAGGCCACACTGAGGCAGGCCAGCACTGGATAGCCTGTGCTTCCATTGCTGAGCTTTCGTGGTGCCCACTCAGGTGAGTGTCGGCCTGTGCAGACCGTAGCGGTATTCTATGGCTTCACCCAGAAGCTTTCCAGCTTGGTGCAGTCAATATCCCTTGTGACAGGGCTTCAGTGTGGCCGGGAAGTGCCTCTAGGGAGAGGCTGCTCAGGCAGCCCCTCGTTTTAGGAGGCTCCTGAGCCCTAGTTGCTGATCTGAGGAGTTGTCTGTACTCAGTGCTGGCCCTGGACCGTGCTGGGAGGTATGAGGCACACCCCAGAGCCCACCGAGCCACACTGCATAGGACTTGCAAGCAGCAGCCTGGTCTAGCAAAAGAAAGGCAGAGGAAATCGTATAAAACAGGCTGTGAGCAGATAAGCTGCTCCTGTGTGAATTTGTGTCCACAGTGTTTTAAACACAGCTGTTTGTGGGCTTTGTCCTTTCTCATTTAGTGAGGCTTCTCTGCGGAGGCACTACCGCCCCTTTCACCGGGCGTCTCTCTGCACTGACAGTAGTCTCATCAGCCCTAGGCGGGTTCCTTGGCTGCTCAGCAGAACAGACCCTATAGGGGCTTCCCAAGTGCCCGTTCTCTGACTCAGCCCGACGGGAACTCAGCATGGGCCAGTGGTTCCCAACAGAGAGAGGGAAGGGTGCATGGGAGGTGAGGTTACTGGTGATTTCCGGCCCCACAGGGGTGGGGCAGAAGGAGACTGCGGAGCAGTGTGGACCTTCCCTGGCACTGCAGCTCCCTCTGGGCTGGTGCTTTTATAACAGCGGGCAGCGCCGGCTGATGGAGTCCAGGAGTGGTGCTGAGAGTGGGACTGACCCGTGCCTGCCTCTGGCTCCGCAGGCCTGGCCTCAGGTAGTTGTACTCAGAAGCCACTCATCTGCCCAGGACCCATTGAACCCTGCTGGTGTCCTGTGTGCCTTGTGCTGGGGGGACCTTTGGAAGAAGGACACGTCCCTGCTCACCTGGGACTTGGTGTTATGTGTCCATTGTAGAGACACAAAATACAGGAAAAAAAATCTAAAAACAAATCCTCCTACCACCCGGGAACAGTCTGCACTTGACATTAAAACTGGCCTCACTCTGTAGTGGGACCCTTGCTCCCCAGGGGCCGGTTGTCATTTGCTCCCCCTGCCGGTAGGAATGAGGATGTTCCCAGGCTGTGTGATGCTTCCTGAGCCCTGCAAAAAAAAGCATGATCAGTGCTGATATTCCCAAATCCAGTACCATCCACAAGTATTGAGTCTTTTTTTTTTTTTTCTGAAAGATCTTTGCCCGCGTTGACAGGCGGAGAGTGGTGCAAGGTTTAGCCGATGTTTCCTGTGGGAGGCTGGGTGTGGCTGGCCTTTACTGTGCACGGTCAGGCCATGCCATCATCTGCTTAGTCTTTGCCTGCTTTGTCTCGAACTGGTCCAGTTTTCTTATGACCCCAGCTGGCATGGGTTCTCTTCAAGGGCATGTAATCTGGAGTATTAAGATTTTAAGGCTTGCTCTTGAAGAGGCAGGCGATAACCAAGCGGAAATGCTGGGAGAAGTGCTGGAGCCTGCAGCTTGATGTCCTCATAACTACCCTGGCGCAGAGGCAGAGAGACAAATCGCTCAATCAGACCAGAGAAACCAAACCTAGGCAAGCAGCCTGGGAGGCGAGTGCCAGAGACCAGGCCCCTGTTGGCCTAGGCCCATCCCTGCCCTTGGCTGGTGCCTGAGATGCTCTTCTTTTCACCCAGCCCTTTTTT